AACACAACACAACAAACACAACACAACACAATACTACACCATCTCATCCACACATGCACATACTCGATCATCACAACTGAACACTGCACACAACTGCACACTACTGCACACTACTGCACACTCGTGAAACACTCGTCTCGCACACAGACCAACTCATCAACCACATGCACATGTCCCACTGCAACTGTCATTGTCACAGCCTCCGACAACACACAAATTACTATCACGTCTATCTGTTTCATTCTCTTCCGTTTACAGAACCCGGAGCGACACCAGACACACAATCGCCTTCCAGCACAACACCGGACGACGACGATCTCTACATCTACTACATTGACAAGTCTGGTAAGAGGAGAAGACGACCTCGACCTCGTGCAACACCATCAGACACAGCAACCAGCTCGACACCAGTCACCGGTTCAGTGAAACGTGAGTCACACACATAACAATTCCTATACCACTCTCCACACATCCTCACACATATTCACACTGATTTCCTCATCGCACATCACGTCACCCGCAAACTTCTATCCACTTCCCCTTCAATGTCCCACTGTCCATTGGGAACCACGCCGAACATGTCAGTCACACCGTGCTGCCACACACGTCAACTCCACTCTGTGTCTTCCACTCACATGACCGTCTCCAACACAACACAATACAAACGTCCACTCCCACTTACTCACACAAACAAACACACACAGAAACCCAGAAATACAGAAAACCAGAAATCCTGACTATCACCACTCAACTCATTCCAACAACACTCTTCATCAAACAACAAACATCTCCGACAAATACTCACACACTCACCCACTCATCCACTCACTCACTCACTCACTCACACACACACACTCACCATCACCAACACAACACAACACAATACTACACCATCTCATCCACACATGCACATACTCGATCATCACAACTGAACACTGCACACAACTGCACACTACTGCACACTACTGCACACTCGTGAAACACTCGTCTCGCACACAGACCAACTCATCAACCACATGCACATGTCCCACTGCAACTGTCATTGTCACAGCCTCCGACAACACACAAATTACTATCACGTCTATCTGTTTCATTCTCTTCCGTTTACAGAACCCGGAGCAACACCAGACACACAATCGCCTTCCAGCACAACACCGGACGACGACGATCTCTACATCTACTACATTGACAAGTCTGGTAAGAGGAGAAGACGACCTCGACCTCGTGCAACACCATCAGACACAGCAACCAGCTCGACACCAGTCACCGGTTCAGTGAAACGTGAGTCACACACATAACAATTCCTATACCACTCTCCACACATCCTCACACATATTTACACTGATTTCCTCATCGCACATCACGTCACCCGCAAACTTCTATCCACTTCCCCTTCAATGTCCCACTGTCCATTGGGAACCACGCCGAACATGTCAGTCACACCGTGCTGCCACACACGTCAACTCCACTCTGTGTCTTCCACTCACATGACCGTCTCCAACACAACACAATACAAACGTCCACTCCCACTTACTCACACAAACAAACACACACAGAAACCCAGAAATACAGAAAACCAGAAATCCTGACTATCACCACTCAACTCATTCCAACAACACTCTTCATCCAACAACAAACATCTCCGACCAATACTCACACACTCATCCACTCATCCACTCACTCAATCACTCACACACACACACTCACCATCACCAACACAACACAACAAACACAAACACAATACTCCACCATCTCATCCACACATGCACATACTCGATCATCACAACTGAACACTGCACACAACTGCACACTACTGCACACTCGTGAAACACTCGTCTCGCACACAGACCAACTCATCAACCACATGCACATGTCCCACTGCAACTGTCATTGTCACAGCCTCCGACAACACGCAAATTACTATCACGTCTATCTGTTTCATTCTCTTCCGTTTACAGAACCCGGAGCGACACCAGACACACAATCGCCTTCCAGCACAACACCGGACGACGACGATCTCTACATCTACTACATTGACAAGTTTGGTAAGAGGAGAAGACGACCTCGACCTCGTACAACACCATCAGACACAGCAACCAGCTCGACACCAGTCACTGGTTCAGTGAAACGTGAGTCACACACATAACAATTCCTATACCACTCTCCACACATCCTCACACATATTCACACTGATTTCCTCATCGCACATCACGTCACCCGCAAACTTCTATCCACTTCCCCTTCAATGTCCCACTGTCCATTGGGAACCACGCCGAACATGTCAGTCACACCGTGCTGCCACACACGTCAACTCCACTCTGTGTCTTCCACTCACATGACCGTCTCCAACACAACACAATACAAACGTCCACTCCCACTTACTCACACAAACAAACACACACAGAAACCCAGAAATACAGAAAACCAGAAATCCTGACTATCACCACTCAACTCATTCCAACAACACTCTTCATCAAACAACAAACATCTCCGACAAATACTCACACACTCACCCACTCATCCACTCACTCAATCACTCACTCACTCACACACACACACTCACCATCACCAACACAACACAACAAACACAACACAACACAATACTACACCATCTCATCCACACATGCACATACTCGATCATCACAACTGAACACTGCACACAACTGCACACTACTGCACACTACTGCACACTCGTGAAACACTCGTCTCGCACACAGACCAACTCATCAACCACATGCACATGTCCCACTGCAACTGTCATTGTCACAGCCTCCGACAACACACAAATTACTATCACGTCTATCTGTTTCATTCTCTTCCGTTTACAGAACCCGGAGCGACACCAGACACACAATCGCCTTCCAGCACAACACCGGACGACGACGATCTCTACATCTACTACATTGACAAGTCTGGTAAGAGGAGAAGACGACCTCGACCTCGTGCAACACCATCAGACACAGCAACCAGCTCGACACCAGTCACCGGTTCAGTGAAACGTGAGTCACACACATAACAATTCCTATACCACTCTCCACACATCCTCACACATATTCACACTGATTTCCTCATCGCACATCACGTCACCCGCAAACTTCTATCCACTTCCCCTTCAATGTCCCACTGTCCATTGGGAACCACGCCGAACATGTCAGTCACACCGTGCTGCCACACACGTCAACTCCACTCTGTGTCTTCCACTCACATGACCGTCTCCAACACAACACAATACAAACGTCCACTCCCACTTACTCACACAAACAAACACACACAGAAACCCAGAAATACAGAAAACCAGAAATCCTGACTATCACCACTCAACTCATTCCAACAACACTCTTCATCCAACAACAAACATCTCCGACAAATACTCACACACTCATCCACTCACTCAATCACTCACTCACACACACACACTCACCATCACCAACACAACACAACAAACACAACACAACACAATACTACACCATCTCATCCACACATGCACATACTCGATCATCACAACTGAACACTGCACACAACTGCACACTACTGCACACTACTGCACACTCGTGAAACACTCGTCTCGCACACAGACCAACTCATCAACCACATGCACATGTCCCACTGCAACTGTCATTGTCACAGCCTCCGACAACACACAAATTACTATCACGTCTATCTGTTTCATTCTCTTCCGTTTACAGAACCCGGAGCGACACCAGACACACAATCGCCTTCCAGCACAACACCGGACGACGACGATCTCTACATCTACTACATTGACAAGTCTGGTAAGAGGAGAAGACGACCTCGACCTCGTGCAACACCATCAGACACAGCAACCAGCTCGACACCAGTCACCGGTTCAGTGAAACGTGAGTCACACACATAACAATTCCTATACCACTCTCCACACATCCTCACACATATTCACACTGATTTCCTCATCGCACATCACGTCACCCGCAAACTTCTATCCACTTCCCCTTCAATGTCCCACTGTCCATTGTGAACCTCGCTAAACATATCAATGTTACCTCTGTTTTACTTACTTTTATTTCTTTCTATTTCTTCTTATCTCCTGTTTCTATTTCTTTTTATTTGCATTTTTTTATTTTTGTTTTCTCATTTTCTTTCGTCTACTGATATTTCTTCTCTTTCCTGTTTTTTTTCTTTTTATATTGAATCGTTTCTTCAATCCATCTGATCTTAATCTTATTCGTAGTTGTTTCTTAATTCCCATTTACTTTAATAGAATATACTGTTATGATTTTTTAAAGCAAATAGAATACTTTCTTTTACTATTCACTGATATTTCATAATAATTCATAAGGTTCATTTATATACTCAAATCTACTTTATTATTGTTGTTTTTATTCTCATTACCATTCAAGGTTTTCATAATAACTTAATTAATAACTTTATTTTGTTTCCCATGTTTGTTTTTTTTACCAGTGATTAACTGTTTTTAGTTAGTTAAGTTTTATGATAAGAATTTTTATCAAAACGAAAGAAATATTTTCCTAGTCTTTGTTCAAATAATTTTATAACTACAACATTTATGACTTCATTATTTAAGTAGATAGATAGATAGATAGATAGATAGATAGATAGATTAGATAGATAGATAGATAGATAGATAGATAGATAGATAGATAGATAGATAGATTAGATAGATAGATAGATAGATAGATAGATAGATAGATAGATAGATAGATAGATAGATAGATAGATAGATAGATAGATAGATAGATAGATAGATAGATAGATAGATAGTTAGATAGATAGATAGATAGATAGATAGATAGATAGATAGATGAAGACGTATTCAAAGCTTATCTACAACTGTTGAACTTTTACATTAATCTATTCATTTCATAAATTTCCTAAACAATATTTTTTTAGCCGTAACCACTAATGGTGATTATTACGAAAATTATGAAGATATATCTACCACAATTCGAGTAAAGAAAATTTCGAAACGAACTACAAATTCAGTAGATCAGTTCAAGCCAATTATGAGGAAAACTATTATATACAAAGAAAAACCATCATCAAATTCATCAGATGATTATTGTAAGTTATATTAAAATAGTTAGTTTATTACCATACATTAGTTTTCTAACATGATGTTTGTCTTTTCAGAAATTTAATACAATTAGTCCCTTTTGATAAATTTTGATAATGTAAGGAAGAGATGAAGTCTATCAGAACTATGTAATATATATATATTTGCACAATACATTTCGAACAATCTGATCATACACCATATACTTCTTAAAACATTTTTATATGAAAATTAAAAGGTAAACTAATTAGATTAAAGGTAAGAAAAATAGTAATGATAAAGTAGGGCTTAGGTAGAGATACTAATCAATATATGCACACTAGTGACCGACTTCAAGATGTATATCCTAAAGTTCTAGTGAAAAGCAGTGGAGTTCAATGGGGTCATTTATGAGATAGTAACTCACAAATGACAATGGTGGATGTGTCACTCAATTTCGTGGATTATTTGAAGATAAACATCAACACTGTTGAATGCCGGCTCAGTGGTTCAGTGGTTAAACGCTCACGCACGAGACTGTTGGGTCCTGGGTTTGAATCCTACGAGGTGGGGTCGTGGATGAGCACTGCTAAGGAGTCGCATACTAGGACGAAACGGCCGTCCAGTGCTTCCAAGTTTTCCATAGTCGTCTAGCTTCAATTGACTCATGAATTCAACTATTAAAATTACTATAATATCCACAAAATCCCCTCTGCTTGTAACATTATTGTTGATTGGATTTTAACATGGACTCAATATGATGTACAGTTATACTAATAACCTTAGAGAAAATCTAATAGGCTATAAATTAATTCTTTCTACCAGTGGTTTGACCCTTGACATCTCTTTTGTTTCTCTTCTTCACTGTACTAGACTGATCATTCACAAACTTCTTATTAAGTAACATTTTGTAGTTATTTTCTTTTAAGTTTTGATCTACTTCCCATTTGAAAACATTGATTCAAATTTTTATTGTTCTTGTCACTACAAGTAAACTTGTCGTTTTGCTACAATCAAATTAGTATCTTTTGTTATTGTATATATTTCATTATTAGCATTGACTCATAAACTATACTGTACAACAAAAGAATTAAAGACTAAAATTGATGGACGACTTTTAAGCGACACTAGATTGACCTTGAGTGTGTTCACCTAATAACTAGTACCGAATAAAGGTTATAAACCAGTGTGAGGAATTAGAATAATGATTTATGGTTGATGATTAGAGTTAGGAATTAGATTCGATGTTTTCGTCGCAAACGAATATCAGTTGTAATGCATAAACTCTATTTAACCAAATTGATGAGTGAATTTCAAGTCAAAATCCAAAATCTGTTATTTTATATCTAATTTAGTTCATCTATAAACTATAGTCTCGCCAAAGAATTCATACTTATATAAATTTTATTTTTAACTATTACATTTAATATAATCTATTTGAACTGCACAGTGATTATGTTCCATGAAAGGGAACTTTACCATTTGTTATCATACATGCTTTGTTCATCTCTGTTTCTTTTTTATTCAGATGATGAAGTAGTTGAAACAACATGGGTTGTTAAATTGGGTGATAAAAATATAACTGATAAAGATTTACTCAATTATCTTAACAATCAAACAAAAGATGAAGATTTATTTGAACGTAAGAATGGAAGTAAAAATTCAGGTATGGTACATCTATACTATTATTTTTAATCGGTAGTGCAGTTACTATTCTGATTACTTTACACATAATAATCAAAATGAGGGAATATATATATATTCTGGTTAGAAAAATAGTGATATCCAATTCAAGATATTTGAGGATATATTGTATAAATGAATAAATTTGATATTATACAATAACAACATATAAAGAATAATCAGAGAGGGGTTTTGTGGATTCGAATCTCGCGAGGCTAGATTATGGAGGAATCCCATACTAGAACGTAACGGCCGTCCAGTGATTCCAGGTTTTCCATGGTGGCCTAGCTTCAACTGACTCATGAATTCAACTATTAAATTAATATAAGTACATAATTTTATAGTAATGTTTAGAAATGTTCAATGGCAACTAAGTAGATTTGTTAAAACTTTGATTATATGAATTTTTAAACGGCTTAGTGTGTATTCGTAGTGTCAGTTGCTATGTTAAGCTCATACACCTTATTCTAGCTTCTGAATAAGACAATTTGTTCATTCCTCTTGAGTAATATTTTGATCTTGTTAATTATTCACTTATCAACCTTGACTGTTTCTATATGAGCGTATGTGTGAGTACACTTCTTATCTTATTCATTACATGTGTGTAACTTATTTTTGTGTGAATATAAATATTAATTAAAGCTTGATTAAATGGAGTTCACTCACATGCCTTCTCTACTGCACGCTGTTTTGTTTCGCTCTCTTTTCTTCGCTTCCTTCGCTAAGTCTCTCTGATTATCTGTTCTAATCAACGATTGTACAAAATATATGTATTCGAAAATGCATTCTCGTATTTGACTTATTTAATTCCGTTATTCCTTAACGCGATCTGAGTTGATAATTTTACACAAGGATTGGCGATATGTATATTTCAATAACATCCATACGATCCATTTGGAGTCAGATAAGCTGTCGCTAAATAGCCCCTGTCTTTGTGCTTCACATACTAATTCATTGTTTTATTATTATGACAGAATCAATTATGCTTTAATAATTTCTTTTTTTTAAATAAATAACACAATCTACAATTATCTTATTGGTTAGATTGATATTTAGAAGATATATAAATCACTATGAAACTTGTGATAATTTTCTTTTCAATTACTATGAATATGTAAAGATTGAAAAGATAAATAAGAATATTGTGATGTGTGCTACTGATGTCGACAGATATAAGTAGTATGTATCATGAATCGAAAGTGAAATACCTAGTGGTAGAAGGTTAAGAAGATTTAAGAGAAAAAAAGAGTAGGAACAGAGAATGATTGGTATGGAAATGAACGAACAATGAAGTCTGAGACGATTGATTTACATTTTACAAATGAAGTATTTATTGTATGGTTCTCAGATTTTACTAAAATGTTCTGTAATTTTGTATTAAAATACATTCGATTGTTCCCACTTATGTTCACATTCACTAAAATACTACTAAAATAGGTTATCCGGATAACGAAAAATACAATAACCCTGACCTGTTCAGAAATCCATACTACTGAAAAGTAGTATGCTACAATCCAATACTCTAATTCTTTGCTAGATATCGACTTAAATTTTCGACACTATTGAGTACCTGAGATTGCCAATATCATCCAGATTTCATACGATGGACTACAGTACAAAGTGGTGCAAGCATGACAGCTGACAGATGCTTTCCAAGTAAAAACCGGTGTCAGACAAGATAGTATCCTCTACCGATTTCTCTTTCTTCTGGTGGTTTACTGTATTATGAAGACCTCAACTTCTGAGGGAAAGCACGGAATACAATAGATGGCTCAGAACCACTTGGACGATTTAGACTTCGCAGATGACTTAGCCCTACTATCCCATACACACGAACAGATGCAGATGAAGACAGCCAGTGTAGCAGCAGTCTCTGCATCAGTAGGCCTCAGCATACACAAAGGGAAAACCAAAGTCCTCAAATTCAAAGCGGAAAACAACAATTTAATCACTCTTGATGGCGAAACTCTGGAAAATGTAGAATCTTTCACATACCTAGGAAGCATCATCGATGAACAAGGAGGTTCAGATGCAGACGTAAAGGCAAGGATTGGCAAAGCAAGGACAGCATTCCTACAGTTAAAGAACATATGGAACTCAAAACAACTTTCAACCAATATCAAAGTGAGAATCATCAATACCAACGTCAAGGCAGTTCTACTGTATGGAGCTGAAACTTGGAGATCTACAACAACCACCATCAAGAAGGTACAATTATTTATAAATAGCTGTCTACGCAAGATACTCAACATCCATTGGCCGGATACCATCAGCAATAGCCTTCTGTGGGAGAGAACAAACCAACTTCCAGCTGAAGAAGGAATTAGGAAGAGACGATGGAAATGGATAGGACATACATTACGCAAATCGTCAAACTGCATCACGAGGCAAGCGTTAACTTGGAATCCTGAAGGGAAGCGGAAAAGAGGAAGGTCAAAGAACACATTAGATCGGGAAATAGAAGCAAATATGAAAAGGATGAATAACAACTGGATAGAGCTGGAAAGGATTGCTCAGCACAGGGTTGGATGGCGAGTACTGATGGGTGGCCTCCGCTCCTCCACGAGGAGTAACAGGCATAAGTAAGTATTCACTTAAATTCAATTGTACTTTGTACAAAAAAATCTTTGGAAAATTCTCATCTTAATTTGTCGATAAAAAATCACATTCATTTTTTCATGTCAAAATAGATGAAAGCACAATAGAAACTGAAACTTCTTGGTTTACAATGGGTAGAAAAAATAATCTAACAGAGAAAGATATTATGAAGTTCTTTGATGATCAACTAGACTTAGACGACTTGTTAAAAACAGTTTTACCAACTGGAAAAGAAAAAACACCTTCACGTAAGTAAATAGAATGGATATATTATTCCTCAATTCTTTTTCTTTTCATATCTCTTCAAAGGAAGATATCTATCTTGAATAATAAGCTAAAAGATTAAACATTTTGTAAACTAAAATCTTTTTCATACTTTAAAGCAAATATTTAATATATTGAGATAAATAAGAAATAATACTATTGTTCGGTAGATGGAGATAATCAAAAAGAAACTATTGATGTAGGTTTTTGTAATATATGACACTTTTCAGTAAGTTGTGCCTGTAATCACGATGGTACTGACGTTCCTTGCAATATTCCACCCCTTATTAACTAAATTCACAGTCTGAAACCTTACCACTGAGTTTTTTCAGGCTGTAACTGACCCTTTTTCAAAACTGAAATATTGACTACTGGCTAATCCTTAATTAGTGATTAATTTCATGTTTTTCTAGTCCTTTCAATGATAACGGAATTAAAACGTAATGAGAATTTCCCATATACTAGTCAAAATTAAGAAATTTTGTTAAGAAAAAACTTATCAATATACTACTTACAAGCTATAAACTTAACAGAATGACCAATAATTAAAGGCTCGAAGTTGAACCAATTAACTTCTAATCTATAATCCACTTAACCTTGTCAATCAGCCAATGAGAGGGAAGGAAAAAAATATATAAATACATATGCCCGTCGTAATAGTACACATATAGGAAACAACTAATCACGTCTCGTACTGACAAGAAATGTTACTAAGAAAAACAATCGGATGACATTTCTTTCTAGATTACATGCTAATGACATTTTTTGGAGACATCACAAAATGTTTTATAATTAAAGTATACAATCATATAATTTCCGAGTATAACTGTAAAAATATGAACATTTTTTAATACAGAATAAGACTAAAAAATATTATTAGTCACAGTTCATACGAGCAGTTTTGATCAGTAAGTTGTGCCATTAATCCGAACTAATTCAAAGAGAAAAAATGGTCCTCACTAAGCCATGTTGATATATGTAATCTATGCACAGTAGTACAGTTTGCCTCAGCTTTGACACTGATGATTCAGATGTACTACGATAATGAGACTAGTCAATTTATATCAGATCCAGGACTCATAAACCAGAATAAAGAACTAGATCCACATTAGATAATACTTTATTCAATACAGTTACAAACAGTCAAACTCAGTACGAAGAGGAAAGAAAATCAAGGTCTTCATAATCTTGTCAACCATCGGAAAAAAGAGGAAGAGAGAGAGTAGGCAGGTTTATCTAACCACAGTCCCCACTTGAGATGCATCTGTCAGGTGTCTTCCATACACAACTTTGTACTGTAATTCGGCCTCAACATACACAAAAGGAAAAATCACCATCCTCAAATACAACACGGAGAACACCAATCCAATCACACTTGATGAAGAAGCTCTGAAAGATGGAGGATCTTTTAATTACCTGCCTGGACAGCATCATCGATGGACGTGGAGGATCTGATGCAGACGTAATGACGAGGATTGACAAAGCAAGGGATACAATTCTACAATGGAAGAATATATGGAACTCAAAACAATTGTCAATTAATATCAAACTCACAATCCTCAATATGAACGCCAACACAGTTCTATTGTACAGTGCTGAAACTTGCGGAACTATCACGACCATCATCAAAATGGTACAAGTATTTATAGACAGTTATGTACGTGAGATATCCAATGTGCGTTGACCGAATATGACAAGTAACAGCCTACTGTGGGAGAAAACAAATCAGCTTCCAACTGAGGAGGAAATTAGGAAAAGACTTTGGAAGTGGATAAGACATAAATGACGGGAATCACTAAACTGCATCTTGAGGCAAACGCTAACTTGTAATGCTGAAGGGGAACGGGAAAGTGAAAGGCCTAAGAACATAATACGTCAGGAATTGGAAGCAGATAAAAAAGTAATAATGGGAAGTGGAAAGAATTGGAAAGGATTACCCTGGAAAGAGTTGGATGGGGAATGCTGTTGGGTGGCCTACGCTCTTCCACGAGGGGTAACGAGTGTAAATCTATATGTCTTTGTTCACGCTCAATGACCAATCTCATTTTCATCTCACTACTACTCATCACATTCAAATAGACATTTAAATGTTTCAATGCTCTCAGCTTACTTTTTTCGACTGTATATCTCATTTCACATCTTTTCATCTAGATACTTTATACAATGAAATTATTAACATATCAATGTATAAATTATATTTATATTTTTTTAAGGTGAAGTGATCTCAAGGAAAGTTTGGATCTCAGATAATCTTGATAAAGAATTAAAAGAATGGAATTTTGACCAAATTGTACAAGATACATTTAAGGATATATTAAAACAAAGTAAGTAAATGATTGTTATTGTTATTGTTGTTGTTGTTTTCTTTGCAATAATTCAGTCGTATGCCTTTAAAGTATGATTGTTTACATACAAAATATATCAACCCATTTTATAAATTTTAAAGAACAAAAACATACATCCAATTCAGTTGATTTTGAAATATTGTTGACTGATGAAAATAATCATAACGTTTATATCAGTCCGTTAGTCGACTATAGACAAATTCAAACCTTGAATAAATATATGTACCAGTATATGGTTATGGAGATTGTTGAGTTTCAATTGATATAATGAATGGATCATTGTTAGACCATCACCGTTTGCAATGGCTCAACTTCATCCACTTTTTGTGTTCTCTTAAATTGTAATCTCCTGAATTCTCCTTGTCTCATTTTTTTTCTCTTTCCAAATTTATTTCACTGGATTATACTCCTTGAATAACATCTTCAAACCCTAATCCTTCCGATTACTGATTATAATTTTACTACCTCTATCACTACGGGATTTGAATCGACAACTGCATCTCTGTGATAATATGGTGTGTCAACTCGAACTGATGTACGTACGTACGACGTTCTACCTTGTTATTGACTGACTGACTGACTGGAGACCACCATTGAAAACTTTGAAACACTGAATGGTCCTTCTGTCCTAGTACTGAACTCCTCAGCAGCATTTGAGTATGAAACAGCCGTTCAGTTTTTCTAAGTCTTCAATGATGGTCTAACACTCATCCATGTACGACATCAATTGAAAAATATGTATCGGTCCAAGTTTTTATGGTTCATACTACTATAAAGAAACGACAAGAAAAAGAGGATAATAGTTGAAACATCAATATCAACTATAGTAATGAACATGATGAGTAAAACATTTAATAACAAATAAAATAATGAAATTATTTTAATAGTTGAATTCACGAGTACATGTAAGCTAGATTACCATCAAAAACCCGGAAGCTGTGGACAACCGTTTCGTCCTGTTATTGAACTCCTTAGCAGTACGCAATCACGATCCCGCGTGCAGGACTCGAACCTAGGACCTCCAGTCCAACGGTGTTAAGTTCAATATAACTTCAATTATTTTAAATAATGTTAAGAGATATAAATATTTTCTGTGATTATTACTGATAAAAGTGTGTGTAGTATAGTGTAAAGACATTGGATGCTGACCACATTAGTTTTAATGGACTCATCGAGCTGATGGTGCTCGGTCATGCATCCGCACCAGTTCACTAGTGGGAACGCCAGTCTAAATAGGTTGATCCTGTATATATTGATAGCCTATCAAATATACCTTCGAACCTATTCACTTATGTCTTTTGACTTCACTTGGTAAGTGCGATTCATTGTAGAAAATGTTACTGGTTAAAGCATTGTCGAACTCCAAGTACCTGTGGCATCTTCAGTATGTTAATAGTTCTTATTAGTAAACAAAATGATTATGAATGACAGCATAAAATAAATATACCAAAGAGCTTACACAAATTTATTATCTTTCTAGTTTTGATGTAGTAAATGTTAATGGATGACCTTTAACATCAAGTATAAAATAATCATCAGTTCATACAAATACCAAAAGATCATATTATTAGTTGTAAATATTCGTAACTAAAATAACAAGAATAGAAAGAAGAAGAAGTAGATGATGAAGATGTAGACGAAAAGACTATTTTCAATAGTCGTACTAGTTTCACTGTGAAAAATAAAATGTCTCATTTGAAATGGGTTTTTTTTTATTTTCCATTTCAGAACCAGACAATACCAAGAATATCAAGAATAATAAAAGTAATAATAAGGGATACAATAAAACTGATATTATTACAGAAAATCATATAGAATATGAAGATTATTAGAAGAATAATTTACAAAGAAAAACGATTGTTTTAATTATCTATTTATTTATTTATACATATATATAGTGGGATATGTTCAATTTCAATATTCAATAATTATCATTATTGATTTTATAATCTGTTAATTGTTTTCATTTTCTTGTAAAATCATTATTATTACTATTCCCATTATTATTATTATTATTATTATTATTATTATTATTATTATTATTATTATTATTGACCTTTAATAGTTATCTATATGTATCTATATATAGAAGACAATATTTAAATAAATAAATTACTCAATTACAATTAATATGTTAATAAAAATTATAAAATCACTTATTTTCTGATGATATTTTCTTAAGTATCAGTTTGTAGTGATTTACTTTACTTACTTACGCCTGTTACTCCCAGTGGAGCATAGGCCGCCGATCAGCATTCTCCAACCCACTCTGTCCTGGGCCTCCTTTTCCAATTCCATCCAATTCTTGTTCATCTTTTTCATGTCTATTTCCATTTCTCGGCGTAATGTGCTCTTTGGTCTTCCTCTTTTCCTTTGGCCTTGAGGATTCCATGTGAGGGCTTGTCTTGTGACGCAGTTGGGTGCTTTCCTCAATGTGTGTCCTATCCACTTCCAGCGCTTCTTCCTGATTTCTTCCTCCGCTGGGATCTGATTTGTTCTCTCCCACAGTACGTTGTTGCTAATAGTGTCCGGCCAACGGATCTGAAGTATTTTGCGTAGACAACTGTTAATAAACACCTGTATCTTCTGGATGATGGCTTTCGTAGTTCTCCAGGTTTTTACCCCATACAGTAGAACTGTCTTGACATTTGTATTGAAAATCCTGACCTTGGTGTTGGTTGGCAGTTGCTTTGAGTTCCAGATATTCCTCAGTTGTAAATATGCTGCTCTTGCTTTGCCGATCCGCGCCTTCACATCTGCATCAGATCCACCGTGTTCATCAATGATGCTGCCCAAATATGTAAAGGTTTTTACATCTTCCAAATCTTCTCCGTCAATTGTGATCGGATCGGTGCATGCTGTGTTGTATCGGAGATCCTTGCTCTTCCCTTTGTGTATATCGAGACCTACTGCTGTTGAGGCTGCTGCTACACTGTTCTTCTCCTGCATTTGTAGTGATTTAGTTCCATGATAATTTCTTAAATATCCCACATAATAATCATCATTCTAACAACTGTTATTATATAAATCCCAGTAGTATATAAATTTTAGTACGTAACACAAAGTATTGATGATTGTTTAACAGATAATAAAATTACAAGCATACAAAACGGATTTGAACAGAAAAGCCAATGCATATGAGCAAGCGTGTATAGAGGTGGATTTAGAGTTAAATCGTAATCGATCGAAGCGAAGAAAAGCAATTAATATGATTCAAGCATATATATATGGAAAAGTGAATGATCCATATGGCGATATTTGAGGGATGACATTAATTGCATGGTTATTGTGTTCCCCTACCACCCATTGATTAGGAATTATAGGGTGTGATAAGAAAAATTTAGGAATTGATGATTGGTAAACTTGTTTTTGCAAGTGTGTATTCAAATGATAATGAACAAACATGATGTGACCTATAATAATTTTTTTTCTTAATTAGCTGTAAAATGTGCATCTTTGTAAATTTGATTAGTTGAAATCGAACTAGCATCAAGTACTTTGATTGGATGTGAGAATTTGCATTTTTACATTTGAATTTTATTTTGAATAAATAATTCTGTTTGATTGTCTCTTCCATTTCACTGCCCTACTATAGTCGTTTCATTGAATGTATATCAGGATAAAGTTTTTTCGATCAAATACATTTAGAATTGAAGTCGTTAGTTATCGTGACACTATTAATTATATGTATTATCATTAAAACAAAATTTGGGAAAAACTGACCACTGGTTTTAATAGTTTATATTAGTGATTACAGTAGTTGAAAGGTAGTCAAATACACAATTAATAAACAAACTAGCAAGATTATAATTTATGGATGGACTAATCAAGTGTAAGATAACAGGTCTCGGATGGCTGATGTCAGTTCGTGATGAAAACCCCAGTTGTAATTCCTAACCCTAAGCATCAAATGTAAATCATAATTCTAATTCCTCACACAGGTTCATAACGCTCATTTGGTCCCGGTTATTAGGTGAACACTCTCAAGGTCAGTTTAGCATCGCTTAAAGGTCGTCCATAAATTATAGTCTTACCAAAAAATTATCACCTAAGTATTCACATTAGTTTGTTTTTTAACACATGGTATGTTATTTTGATAAACGTTATATGCGTGCGTGTCAACGTATCAATAAGTCATGATAAAATAATCAATAAGGAATGTATGAATCACGCTAACCGAAAACAATCAATAAATTTTTCAGAAAGAAAAGAAAATGTGCTCTGTCATCAAGTCCTGATATTCCATATCATTTTTTAAGAAATAAGTGACCAATTATAACGAATTTAAAACTAGCCATTTCATTGGACTAAACGGAATGAAAACGTTTTGATTGAGATCATGAACTGATTGATGTTAGACCACCGTTGGAAACCTGAAAGCACTGAACGACCGTTTCGTCTTATTGTGGAACTCCTCAGAAGTGCGCATCCACGATCCCGCTCGCGGGATTTGTACCCAGAGCCTTCAGTCTCGTGTGCGAACGCTTAACCTACTAGACCACTGAGCCGGCATTCAATGGTGTTAGTGTCCAACATCAACCAATCCACGAAATCGCGCGACCATCTTCCATTGTACTGAGGTAGATATTTTCTCTGCCCGACATGGATCAGCTCCACTGGTTACGGCTTCTCACCAGAACTCCGAGAATTCCCTCATGAAGCTAGTCACTAGTGAGTACATATTAATTATTAGTAAAGGGGTTGTGGAGATTATTAAGTGTTTGATTGAGATCACGAACCAATTGATGTTAGACCACCTTTGGAAACCTGAAAGCACTGGACGGCCGTTTCTTCCTATTATGGGACTCTTCAGAAGTGCGCATCCACGATCCCGCTCGCAGGAGTCTAACCCAAGACCTTGGGTCTTGCGCGCGAACTGGCATCTAGACCAATGAGTTTGCACGCCATAGTGTTAATTTATAACTTCAACCAATCCAAAACATTGAGCAAACATCTCTCATTGTTTTCGTTGGGGAACT